TTCAAGAAAAAAAAAAGCATCCATATAGTGGACGAGAAAATTGACTACAATTATAATGCTTCAAGGAGATATAACCCCTTATTGAATTCATAAACATGTGCAAGCAATGCTAGATTCTTGGCTTCTGACCACATTACCTTAACGATATCATCTGATGAACCCTGTGGTGAAAATCAGCGTTGATATTCAATTTTTTCGGGCAGAAAATACCTAGAAAACATGACACAGAAAACAAGAAAAGTTTCTGTATGAATAAAAGAAGGAAATTACGCATGGAACCAAAGAACTGATACCCAAGAACATGAATAGTGGTTTACCAGCAGGTAGGGGTTTCAAGCTATTAAAAACCTTCGTTTTGCAGCTGCAAAGAATCACAGGAACAGCCTTTTAAAATAAAACCAGATGGTTCGGCAGATTAACTCCTCGGAAAATCTGAAAAAGCATACCTTAACGAACTCCTGGGATCTCTGATTCCAGTGGCATCGTGCAAACATGAACTGGTGGTGCCCGAAGCCATTGCCATCCTCCCACTACCTGAATATCAGAATGGTTACGAACGAAAACAACTAGGGTTCAGTGATGTGGAAAGCGAATCACAGTACGTGCTGCCTTCCTCGAATAACAGTACGTTCCTGCCTCCGGGTTATCTTGCAGGATCAAATGTTCAGAGCTCCATATTACCACAAGGGCTATTTGATTTGCGAGTAATTTTAAGGATTGTTTGTTTAATGGAAAAAATATTATCCGGAGTACTAACGCATCAGCACTTCAATGAAGAGGCATCACGTATATAATGATCTCATCATAATGCCACGTGACATCTCCTCATTGGAGTACTGCCTGAAATAATATTTTTTCGTTTGACAGTTTTTGAAATTTAATTCAAGGAATTTTGAAAATTACTTAAATCCAAATTGTATAAATCCCAGGGTGCTTAAATTTAAAAAATTATTTGGCATGATATAAATTAAACATAATTAAATTTTGTGAACCTTGTTGACAAACTTTTTAGAGGATTTATGATTGTTAGCTGAAAAAATTTTCAAATAATAATATTTAACAAATATGTTGGAATGACAATATGTGAATACAAGGAGATATCCATTTAATAAATCATATATCTATTGCATATACATAATACCTAACAAATTTAGCCACTAATTAGTATTGTAATATTCAATCATTAATATTTTAGCTAATTATTGAGATAATTAATAGTTAATTAGAGTTTACTAAACTAATTGAATACTAATCAAGACTTTCATGATTATTAATTAATTATTAATTATTTATTCAATAACCTACATCAATCATAACTAAAGCAATTAAATTATAATTAATGCAAAAATGGTATGTCAATTATTTTTTATTTAATAATTCATTGAATATTAATTATTACTGATAAAATTATTATAAATGGCAATTCAATTTTTTATTAATTAGCAAATTATTAAGTTAAAACTTATATTTGATTAGTAAATTACACAAATATGTTTTTTTAATATTTTTTTATTAATTTCAATTAATTGTTAAGGTTCATTTGTTTTCTTAGATACAATATTTATATGTAATTTCTTTTATGAATTAGCATTAATATTAATTTAAATTATTAAAAAAATTATGACATCATAATTTACCTAAAATATTAATATAATTTAGCATTAATAGATTATAATAACTTTTAATTAATTTTTATTGTTTGATTAACATTTATTGTAAGTAAATTTAATCTAAATTTTAATATAAATTTATTATAATATTTAACTATTCTTCTCCCCATCCTCTCCATTAATTCCCTCTTCCTCTCTCCAAAACTACCACAAAAACTCATGATAAGCACACAAGTCGTGGCATAGAGCTAGAAGCTACCAAATATAATCCTCGCTCCCCTCTCTGCATGAAGCGCTCATCTTTCTCCAACACCCTTCATGCATTCTTTTTGAAAAATCTTTTAAATATGTTGGACATGTGGATTTACTAAGTCTAAGACAGCCATATTTGGTAAATCCAAAATTTTAAAATGGCTTTGTTTGCCTATTTTTTGCTACGTTTATGTAATATTTATATATTTTGAGTCTCAATTATTCGCTTCATCAAAATTAGAGATTATGAAAGAAGGTGGGAAAATAAAGATAAAAAATATGAATATAATGAAAAGAAGTATAGAAAGATTTTCATAGGGTAATATTTATAAGTTAAGTTAGAGATGAAAGACCAAATGAAAAAGGACTGACTCACTTTATCCAAATCTATAGAAATATCTTTTATGTATAGCTAGAGATCAAATTTTATTATTATATATTTTTAGGAATATATTCATTTGATTATTTACATCTTGGGAATACTAATAGGCAATCACATCTTAATAACAAGAGTCTACAAAATGACATCAAAAGATATATCAGAATGATAGCGTAGGCTTAAAGGAGGTACAGAGATATGTAAGAAATTTAAGATTTATTGACATAACTCAATCAAGATTTCATGGACTCAATATCGTGAGTCATGATATTTTGAATCAACTGGATCGTGAAGGTAGTCGACCCAAAACAGCTAAGAACTTTTTATCAACAATTCATAAATTTTGTCATTTAAGAAAATTTTCTAGATCCTAAGCTAATGAAATAAATTGACAAAGAATCCTATGACTCTATCCAGAAGAAAATGGTATGAATAGGACTCACCCTTCTCAAAGTTTGATAAGGTGCTCTTATGGAAGAAAAATGGAAATGATAGCTTGACCTCAAAAGCCAAAACTATTCGATGTGAACTTATAATCTTGTATGGGCCATGATAAACATTAAATTTCATATGCATTCTAGACAATCACTAAAGTGAATGTTAAGTCATGAGGCTAGTGAGGTAGGAAAAAGAAAGTATAGTTCCTATTGGCATGAAATAATGCAACATTATATATACATACATACACACAGACACATAGAGACATACATCCACACACGCACTCACACACACACAAATATGTATATATATATATATATATATATAAAGAAGAAGCCTCACATTCATGGATACATGTGTACCAATAAATAAGAGGTAAAATCATTGGTCAAAATATGAGTGATTACAAAGCTCTAAAGTAAGGAAGGCCCAAAAGGTTCCCATCTAACAAAAAAGAGAGAAAGAAAGACAAAACTTTGCTACTTACAGAGGTTTCTGTGTGTAAACCTGCCTTGGCCAACCAATTGGTCAGCCTATTACCTTCTCTATGTAAAAAGATATTTATTGCGGTAAGGTCAGTTGTCAAGTGTTTGATTTATTTACTCTGGATCAGTAAATTCCAAGGGCAAGCCAAGTGATTATTGAGTATGCTAACTAGAATTTGGGAGTCAGATTCAATAATCACTTGTTGGAAGTGGCCCCTAATAGCAATAAGAAGAGCCCAGTACACTGCAATAGTTTCAGCCTCCAATGCATCCATTCCTATAGTAAGAGATTGGAAATACAATAAACATCTGCCCTGTTAGTCCCTGAAAACACCACTTATACAAGCATCTGAGTTGAGGAAGCTTCCATCTGTATTCACTTTAATCTAGCCGAATCCAATTCTTTGTCAATGAATCAGTCTACTGTTAGAAACTTAGGGCAGGCTACTCTCAATCTGATAACAAATATCAAGGAAATTCTTTAAGTATGGTAAGTTTGGCGAGGTGCAACATACAGTGGTTTGTAACAACCTTAAAGTACAAAATTTTCTTCTCATGCTTATATTAGTTTCTAGCCATCCATACAAAGCAGGCACCCAAATAGGAAATGGTTGAGAGATTGATTTGTTGCCATTTTGTCCAAAAATTATGGAAATGTTTCCATGAGATGGTCAAAGTGTTGAAGGTAACGTGGTTCAAGACAAAATTATAGACATTTTAGATAAAGAGACAACTAAAGAATAAGTGATTGAGAGACCTCTCAACTTGTTTACATAACACACAACAGGAAGGCCCCTGAAGTTCTTTAAGCTTAAGTATGTCATCAATAGGAAGCAACTTTTAAAATAATCTCCAACATAAGAAAGACATGGAGGAGGGTAGAAATTTTTCCCAAACATGTTTACCCCACAAAACCTTCTGCCCACACAATTATTGTAAATGTAAGCAGAAACACGTTGAGAGAAGTTCTTCTTGATGATAAATCTATCACTCTTTGATGTTTCAACAGGAATCTTTAATATCCTACTGACATGAGAGCTATCTAAGATATTATGCAAAGCTTGGATGTCCCAATTTCTATTTTTCCAACAGTCAGAAATTTTGAGCTTCAAATTAGTGGGTGAGGGGTGAGAATCAGCTAGCTTCCCCTCCAAAGTTCAACTATCTAACCATAAGTTGATTTTACCTTCTCTCAATTACCAAACGAATAATTGTTCTACCTTGGATTTCACTTTAAGCATATTAGACTTGATTCTAGAATCCCCCAACCTATTGGAAACCAAGGAAGGGTGCTGATCCCAATAGTATTTTTCCCTCATAAATCTTGCCCAAAGAG